TTTGTTTGTTTATTTTATATGTGCATAAATATTTTTGCTTTGTTGATTTGTGAAACATAAGATGTAAAAGGGAAGGCACAGGGAGGAAGCTGAATAATGGTTGTTGAAGGGAGGGTATTTAAATAATTTAGATGGAACAAAATGTATGATTGGTTGAAAAAAAATCAGTAAGATTAAAAAAATTAATTCTTCAGTTTCATTTGTTACATTTCAAGGATGTAGCCATACATGGCTACTAGCTACCATGATAGACATTATAAGTCTCAATGGCCTTTCTAGGAATTAGCCTACCTATCTGTGGCTAAGGAAAGAAAACTAGATAATGCCTAGTTTTAACCATTCTCTGTTGAATTTGTTTTGATATCATCTCCTGGATAATTATGACTAGTGCTGTTTTGATATACTTCCATGAAATGTTAGGATAAAACTTGTTCAGGGTCCCATATAAGACAAAAGAAAACATATGAATGGTTATATCCATGAGCTTTTAATTTCTGTCCTGAAAATAAATAAAGGGCTCAGAAACTTACTGCCCACCCTCCCACCTCCACACACACCAACCTTCATTATGGCCACTTAGATGTGCATATATAAGTCTTTACTGTAAGTTGCCAATAAAACTTCCATTTTACCCCTTATTGACAGAATGAGCTAAATACCAGTTTCTGAGTTAACTTGACTAATCAATCAGTCAAAGAATCTTAGCTTTGACGGATTTCAAACAGGGCAGGTAATACCTGTAGTATATTTGTTGTTATTGTTGTTGTTAAGTATAGTCAAGTCAGTTTCAACTAACAGCAACACTGTATAGGTTTTCTGAGGAGAGTTTGGTAAGTCTGAACCACCGACCTTGTGGTTCAAACTGACCTTGCAGTCCAGTGCTTATTATATAGCACCACATCAGGTAGTATATTTAGGTAGTATATTATGTTAAAGGAAGGATGAAGCCCTGGTCTCCTGCTCTGTGTCATGAAATTTGTTTCATTGAAATGACATTTTGGCTGACCCTAAAACAGTGGAGAAAGTTCACATGGAGGTTTTAAATACAGCAAAGTTTTTCACGTATTATTGAGGATGATGATAAATCTTTTGACAGGCAGAGATGAAGTAGAAGGCATTCTTCATGGAAGAAAAGTGATAATCAAAGGTACTACTAGATGTATCTGAGGAGAAATGAGTAGTTCAGTTTCATTGAATTTCAAGGCACTTTTCAGTTAAGACTGAAAAGCTAGACTGGGGTCATTATGCCAGCAGAAACTAGAAACCACTGGAGGTTTCACATGGATGAACAATATAACTTGAACAATACATCAAGAAGACTACTCTTAAGAATTTAAAAGTAAAATGTGATATGCTCATAACACAATCTTGCTTGCTGAAAGCAAAGGACTTGAAGCACTTACTGATGAAGATCAAAGGCTACAGCCTTCAGAACGGATTACACTCTAAAATAAAACAAAAATCCTCACAACTAGACCAATAAGCAACATCAGGATAAATGAAGAAGACTGACGTCAAGGATTCCATTTTACTTGAATCCACAATCAACGCCCATTGAAGCAGCAGTCAAGAATCATATGAAATACTGCATTAGACAAATCTGTTGCAAAAGACCTCTTTAAAGTGTTAAAAACAAACAAACAAACAAAGATGTCACCTTGAAGACTAAGGTACACTTGGCCTAAGCCATGGTATTTTCATATGCCTCATATCCATGCAAAGCCTGCACAGTGTATAAGGAAGGGTGAAGACGAATTGATGCCTTTGAATACGATGTTGCCAAAAACCATCAAAATTACCATGGACTGCCAGAAGAACACACAAATCTGTCTCAAAAAAAGTACAACAAAAACGATCCTTAGAAGCAAGGATGGTGCGACTTTGGTTCATGCACTTTGTACATGTTATCAGAAGAGATCAATCCCTGATTTAACATAGCTTTTTATGATAATAATTATTAGTACAACAATAAGAAAATCAAGCATATTAAGAATACACAAGGGCCAAAGCAGTATGTTCCTTGCGGCAGAACGTTAGATTTCCTAGGTGTACCTAAATGATAGCGTAGCGGTTACGAATCGGGCTGTGAACTGCAAGGTCAGCAGTTCGAAACTACCAACTGCTTGCTCCATGGGAGAAAGATGATGCTTTCTACTCCCATAAAGATTTACAGCCTCGGAAACCCTGCACAGGGTCACTATGAGTCAGAACCGACTCCACTCCACGGCACATAACAACAACAACAACAACCTAAATGATACTTTCAATATATTAAGCTTAAGATCCCTGGTGTGGTGTTGCAGGATAAGCACTCGACTGTAAACTGCAAGGTGTGGTTCAAACTCGGCTCCTTGGAAATTTTGTATAGGGTTACTATGAGTAGAAAATGACTTGACAAAAGATAGAACTTAACAACAGTAACAAAGCTAAAATGTCTTCTGAAATATTTGTTACGTAACAAAAAAATAAAGGATATGTAAATATCCTCTCCATAATCACTTTTTGAAAATCACACTCACCTATAATTGTACCTGAGTTACTCAAAACATCTAGAGTATATGTTGTTCAACATTAAGTACATATAATATTCTATTTCTCCCTAACAGATTCTAAAAGTTAGTTTTCTATGACATGTTTTTACATTAGGATGTTTAACAAAAATCAACACTGTAGAATTTGTAATTAAACAAAGCATAGGGTGTGGGAAGGGTGTTAGTCATAGGCTTTTAAAAACATTTTAAATAACAAAAATTAGGTTTAGTGATCCAAAATCGCATATAAATTAGGACTCACTGATTCATTATGTAAATGAGTTTTCCTAAGTTCTCTAACATAGAACAGTTTGGCTTAGCAAACCATTTTATATAAATGACAACATGATTTAATAATACAGCATTTTGTATATTTCAAAAGAAGCCCATCCTGAAATTTATGTTTTACAATGGTTGAAGGGAAAGGGAGAAACATTTGTAAGTGAACCGCACACAATTTAAAATCTCTTCAAGGTTTGTGGGGGGAGGAAAGTAACTTTACTCTTACCTTCTGCACAGAAACTTGACATTCAGTTTCTACAACAATTGTGTCAGCATCACTAGACTGATGCATCACAGTACGGTCATTCAAGCCTTGTTCAGACTCACCTAGATGCAAACATTTTTATAATAATTAATCATGCTTGCTTGGATTGAATTTGATTTCTTTTCCTTCTAGGTCACAAACTTTAAAAACAAAATAATTCCTATTTTTGGATGATTTTTAGTTGGAGACTTGCTTTACTAAAAATAAGCATTTCTTTATGATTTGTTTGTTTGCTAGCATAAATTGTAGAAGACATTGTGGCTCACTTACCAGAATCCATTGCTTTTAATCTGTCTTCATGATACAAGGTAAGTCAAAAAGTGTTGCTACAAAATCATAGAAACCTTAAATGTTGAAATGTGAAGCTACTGTTTCTCAACATATCTACTATCTCACACTTCTGAAGGCAGTGTTTCAGTGTCGTTCCAACCCTTACTTAAAGAATTGTGTGTTCTTTTATTTACATCATGCCAAAATGACAGGGACTCAAAATGGTGTTCTTTTTCAATGTTTTTTGGATTTTCAAAACAAAAAGAAGCCTGAAGCAGCAGGATCGGGATACAGGGTAAATGGAGTAAGGTTTCCCAATGAAATCCTCCTAGGACAGCCTTTTCAACCTTTGAAGAATGAGCCGGATGCATTGTCCTGATGGGAAACAATAATTTGGTGCAATTTTGCTGGTTTTTTTCTAACTAGCACAATTTTCTATTAAAACTTCTTCCTAATAAGCTCCTACAATCCTTCTGGGTCCTTCAAGAAAATCTATCAAGATGATCTCTTTTGAAATACAAAACAAAAAACCATAATACCCAGTTTTCATAATCTTCTGAGCTGACCACTATTCCTTGAATTTAATTGGTCCTGCAGATCCAATTAGAAGCCACTATTTTGATTGGAACTGTTTTTGGAAGGGACCCTAATGAGACTAAGATAAGTGTACTAATGAGAGAACTCAGCAGTCATCCACTGATTACAAAGAATGTTTTATCACGTTCTTAGAATAAACACATACATGTATGAAATGAAACCCTAAAAGTAATAGTTCCTGACTTACCCTTGTATAACAGATCTCTAATTTGTAGACTGACCTTATCTCCAGGAATGGGTCTTGGTAAGCCCAAACCAATTACGGTAATCCTATCCTCCTACCAGTAACTTACCTAGGAAAAAGCAGATCTAAACCAATATGCAGTTTCCAAGGAAATTGCGGCCTGGTGGCCAGTTTTAAAACAAAACAAAAAAACCCCACCAATAATGGAATAACGAAGACATCAAATACCAAATAATAGCTACAGAAAGGATAGAAATTAGAAGTGTAAATGCTTTGTTTCATCAACCATAGTAGAGAAAACAAGTTACTTAAATCTATTACTTCTTAAGCTTTCATCCAAATTTTCCATTTATTAGGGGTAAAGATAACTACAGAGGGGTGGGGAAAGCAGAGACAAACAGTGGAAACTCCTCTGCCAAACCATCCCCAAAAAAGCAGAGAAAGAGTGGTCCGCAGAAAAACTGCAGAGCTTTGACTCTTGTTTAAGGTTCCGGATGCCAGTTT